AACAATGTTCACCAGTTTCACATAGGAATATTTGAAACCATGACACGGTAAAATGGATCGGTTGTTTTATGAGAGAATGCCAAAGAATTACAGTTGTTCGCAGCAAGCTCTACTGAATACAAAACTGCCTCGAACTTTATTATGTGACCAGGTAAACTAAAAGGAAAAGCGTTTACCAAAGTATGGTATAAGCAAGATTGTACAGCAGGGAAGCAGGTATTCTGTTTGCGCTCCGAGTCAGATATCATATGGAACACCATCGCACCTGGCTCGGCATCAGGCTACCACGGTATTTTGTAGGCACGTGCTAAATGACTACCACGAATTACTGCGAAGACCGACTCTGTACAATAATTCCTACGAATGTCTTACTACTTTTTTCTCTTACTAAAAAATTCCAAATTAGTTTTCACCCTATTCGAGGGCTGAAACCATCGGTAAGTGGACTTTTCCGCCGAGATGCTCATTTTACTAAAAGTCAAAACAAGTGGGAAACGACAATTGTCGACTGAAACGCGATGTAGAAGCGATGTTTACGCATCTATTCCGATTGTAGGACTAAATACAGGGTGAATCTGTTTTTCCCTGGGTCTGCAACCTAGGTCCGCACACGTGAGGTCACTCGCGGGCTGATGGACCAGGACAAGACATAAGTAAGTCAGTAGTTAAGAGGCATTGACCGACGAAGCAGGCGTACTGTGCGTAAGCGTATGATAGCAAGCAAAGTTGACATGGTGTAGGCAATTTCACGCAAGGCAACTTAGCAAAAAGTAAAACCAATGTTCACATTCACACTCGCAGCACTGTCAGTGTTAGAGGCGAGACTTAAAGGGTTGCAGTGTGGATGGCAATGCCATCGTTGGTTTTGGGTGTTGGGTGAGAGGGAGCGCCATGTAGTAACGCATTTTATATTGATTGATACCTTTTTTAAGCTGTGGCTACTTGGTTTAGTGTTATCAAGAGAACAGAAGTGGCTTCTTGGGAGGCAGACCCATGCAAAAGATTAGAATTCACTAAGAAATTATCGAGATGATGCGTTCACGGCACCACAGTGCACAACAAGCGGTTATGAGTCACAGTTTCTCGAAGTCACGAAAAGCTTTGGGGAGGCTAGTGTGCATAACTCCGTACAGGAAGCTCCAATACAATGACAAGGTGACTATAGAGAAGAAGGTTGTGGGCTGTTCATTCACGGTAACCACAATGTTACTGAAATAAAATGTTGCCGTTTTTAAGTGTCCATGGCAGATACTCACTTGGATTCGAAAAAAATGGTTGGTGTAAAAATTTCCTCGAATTTCATGGGAATTTTAAGTCAATTTCGTCTGAAGATTGATAGTAACCAATGCTATTACAGTTAGTGTCAGCAGTAAGAGACTTACCCCCGAGTCGGTAATGCAGCTTTGTATAGATGACGTACCGGTGTTATGCTAAACTATTACTCTAACCAACTTATATCTCACTTACTACGGTTCTTTTTCGCGGGTACAGTAATCATGATATGAATAAAGCCCAATTTGACGGCAGTCGTTCATGATGATTCTTCCATCTAGTTCGGTCGTGCTGTCTCATTCGTATGATTGTGGTCAAACAGCAACCAGTTAACTATAAGTATGAAGGCGATTAGCAGACTGTCACACGTATAATTAATAACTTCGTTAGAAGTAAAATGTCTGTTGTGGGGATTTACGAGAACCCTCTGATCTGCAAACATAGTAACTCGCACTGTCGAGCAATCACACAGGATTTGCGTTTGGTTATAGCCTACTGCGCGAAGACTGCAGAATTATAAGGTGCACTGAGAGACGGGGCCTGTGGCGTACCAGAACAAGCGTTCACTTAGCAAATTAAAAAGCAATTCGTATGACGGTTGCGAACGATACATACTTTTTGCCGAAGGACTAAGAGAGAACATCAACTGTATTTTCGTAAGTTATGAGCACATGATAAGCAGTTGTCTCTTCCTGATATTCAACCTTGGACTCATTTTCGGTTTCCACTAGTCAATACCTTCACTTTACTTAGCACCACTGAAAAGTTGCCCAGTGGACATGAGTAGGTATCTGTCACCGTCGGCAATGCGTATTTTCGGTGTCTAATTACTATCTAGCAACGGTTAAGTACCACGCGAATATATGCACTGGTCGAGACATAGTGAATTTTAGATAATGAAAAGCATTAGAGTTTGGAACATTTTCGTCATTTATCGATTTTAAAAGATGTCATCAGGAGACCCCCTTACGAACATTTCACAGGTTCATTCGCTTCCATAAGGCTACTATCTCATAGTCTTCAGTACCCCTGGAAACCGCCCTATTGTTGTACTCATTCTTTTAGTTACTTTGTAGACCAGATATTGCGCGGTGCTCAGCATTTTGTGCTTTTCTGACGAGTTTGCCTGACAGAAGTCAGTCGACATATTATTTTAATTTTAGATGTGCCTGGGTCGAGGTTAAACAGGCTCTTACAAAAATTACGTAGGCATCTGTAACAAGGTGATTTTTCTAATGAAATCTGTTGGAGGAGAAATGAAGTCATGATTCATGATCATGAAAGACGAACGCATCTTGTTATTGACCGAAGAAAATAAACTGACGTATCGGAAGAGCTTGTTGACGTTTTCGCAAAATGAGTGCTGCACTTAAATCAATCCCTTGGAGCAGGATACGGCGTCTCCGTTGACAGCTAGTATGCTGTACAGATATACTACATGTACACATTTCCACGGACTGCATACTGCAGTTTGAAAATAAATACATTAGTCAAACTGCGTCTTAACTTAAGGCGAAAGACAATAAATGTACAATCTAAGGAATTAGTATGGCCTGCATATGCAGTACGTTTGCTTTCCTCGTGATGCAGCTTAGGTTTAAATCAAAATAATAGATAAATGATTACTCAGAGTGATATACTGCCACTATCTGGCCCCTCCTCATGGACGGTGTTCGTCAAACCCTACAACCAGCACAATAAGATAGTGAGTGATTTACTAGCACCAGTAGAAGTGGCGGTTGAAGTATCAGGACGAGCATCAAGCCTGACTCAACTTAATACCGTTTTCCTGTGTGCTTGTAGATCATTCTGCCGATGAACCGAAACGATAACCACAATGAGTCGGTTGAAACACTGCCTACATACAGGCAGCTTGAGCACCAAAGTGATCCAGTATGCAAATCACCAAACCCCTACAATACGACCGCTCATTGCGTTTGATGATGTCTTGCCTGGACAGAAGGCAACGCCACGAGAGCGGAATGATGCGCCGACAGCTGGCGTGGTTCAGTAAAAGCAAATAGCAGCTGCACCAGCAGCTGCAAAGCCTCGAAGTGTCGGATGCAAATAGGGCACAATCGGGGCCTACCCGCGAACCCAGTCAGCCACCTAATTAACTCCGGGGAAGACTTCAACAAAGTCAATCTGCGGCGTCCAGAATTGCGCTGAAAACAGGTAAGGTCCACATAGCTCGCCATATACGAAGTCACTAGACGTAGGTTATGCACAGAACTAAACATGCGCACATTAGAGGCATATGTCTGTTGGAATGACGGCCGAGTTTATGTGTACGAGTTGGAGGCAGCGTCTACGAGGCACCTCAAAAGGTCCCTCGATGCATTAAGAAAACGGCGGAGTAAGCCGGATTAGACAATGCAGGATGCTGATAGTGCGCACAACCTCTGTCGTAATATACGTTTCTCACTTAGAATCTATAGCAAGTCCTCAGAGACCATCGCACTCGGCAAGAAATCCATAGAGGAGACATGTGGCATCGTACATTGTGTTCACTATTTTTTAAATAAAGTTCATCCTAAAAAATAAAATAGCTTTGGTTCCATTTCATCTTGGGGGTGGAAAACTACACGAGAAAATCAATTGGGGGGTTGCTAGAGAACGGTTAAATGCAATTGCGATGCGTTTCTGACGCAGCATAGCGCCATATCGCGACCTTTTGCGACAAAATATATAGCAACCAGTGGCCAAAATACGCTAAAAAACGGACATGATCATCGCGAATTTTCCACAGCGATGCGCCAGCGAGTCGTTATGGATTTGCTAGTTCGGATGGTGAACGAGGTAAGCTCAATAGGGGTTCGGTGGAGGGATACCCGACACAAGTTTGTTGACAGAATCCTAACGAGTAGATTATCCATTTATGCCAGTATGAGAACACAAAAATGGTAGGATTCTGCTACTACAGTTAACTTTGATGGTGGCATTTCACGATGCCTAATTCATGTATGCACCAGTGTCCGTCAGAAACATAAAAGATTCAATGTTTTACCACTAGCGTAAGGGCCAAAATACGAAAAAATGTATTATATAGGTAGGCAAGAAGCAGTTACCTCGGCTTGACTAGCCACTGAATTTAGAATCGAACGCGCCCTGGTCCTCATGTCTATGCCGTTCTCAAACACACAACCTCACAGAAAGCGCCTTTAATCAAACTGAATTAAACAACAGAGATTACTTGCATGAACATATTTTTGAATTAGTTGAAGCCATTAATGCCAAATGTGACAAAATGGTTAAATATAACTAAGAGAATATTGAAGAAGACACGACAGCTTAACAAAGGAAGATCGAAAAACAGAGTCAACACCATGACAATATTATGGCAAAGCAGGAAGTCAAGAAAAGCGAGGAAAAATAGTATTAGGCCTATAAATTTTCGGAATTAATACACAACTTGAGACCCAAGCTCTTTTTTAGCGTTTTTATATAAGGTATGTTAATGACTACAAATATATGCGTTTCTCATATCTCATAATATCCAAATTGCGTGTATCGTAGTTAAATCCTATTATTATTTGTCCATTTGTTAGGCTATATGTATATTTGAAGGGTTACAGGCAAGGAATGCTTTTGAGGACCCTATTAATGTAAAGTACATCATATCATTCTTGCAGTCGATATGAAGTTGTAGGAAGACATATTATACCATTACACGCTTTCGAATGAATTGTCACGGAATAGTATGAAAACCGTCTAGGGCCAGAAAGATTGTTTACAATGCTCGCAATAAGAAATCGTGTTGTGAAAGTCACCTTTTGTCAAATAAAATGTGACCAAGTTAATCAGTTACTTCACTAGTGGACATTCAGGCGAACTGCAAATCCCCAATATGCAAGCGGCTTAGTTATTGAACTGTTTGATGTTTTAGTGAAGTAATAAGGAACCAGCATTGAAGGAGAAAAAATGTTTTAGCCGTTGCAACTAGCTTGCGTTATGTTGCCCATTGTGGCAACTGCCAGCATCCTTATCAGCTTAAGCGTCTCCGAATTAACACAATTGAGATTATGTTGCCTGTATAAGTGGTGTAACGAGCCGAGGATGTCTAGGTTGGCACACACACGGAAGGATAAGATACCTGAAGATGTTTCGGTCATTGGGAGCGGCGAACAGAGTTGATAAACGCCA